GGGGGGGGGAGGAAGGAAGGTGTCAATTAAAACCTTTCTCCTATGACAGTCTAGATCCCCTGCTTGCACTCGAGATCTGCCTCCTTCAGCCTCTCCCCTCTGAGAGACTGTCCCCTAGCTGAGCCATCACTAGTCAGCCTTTGCCAAAAGCTCCCTGGAAGCCCTGATGGCGTGAGACATTTTATAAAAACACCAGACAAGGGGGGGGGAGGAAGGAAGGTGTCAATTAAAACCTTTCTCCTATGACAGTCTAGATCCCCTGCTTGCACTCGAGATCTGCCTCCTTCAGCCTCTCCCCTCTGAGAGACTGTCCCCTAGCTGAGCCATCACTAGTCAGCCTTTGCCAAAAGCTCCCTGGAAGCCCTGATGGCGTGAGACATTTTATAAAAACACCAGACAAGACAAACCACACAGCAAAGGGCGGAGGTGGGGAGAGACGTGCCCCTGCCCCTCCCCAGCAGGTGGAAATGGGCCAGACAAGTGCTTCTGCAGATAATTTCCTGGTCCAGTCTATCCTATGCTGTTCACAGAGCAAAGCTCCACAAGCCACCTGGGATGTTTTCTCCATAGGAGAGGGCTGGTGGTGTGGAGGGAGGGTGGCAACAGAGGGGAATGGGATAAATGAGCATGCACCCTAAGAAGGAACTAGGTCCTCAACTCAAACACAAGTGGGGTGAGCCGTTCCCCGAGAGCTACCTATGCGCTGTATGTACATGTCCAGGCTCCTTATATACAGACTAGACCCTCAGAACGACACAGAGCGTTCTCTACACGTACACGTAACTACACTGTGTCAGTGCGGTCGGTTCGGATGCATGTTTGCTACGGTCTCCGGGCCTGGCTGTGCGGCAGAGAGCGCCGTGTGGGAGGTGTGCTCTCTCCTCCTCAACCCAATCACCCCAGACTGGGGGGGTGTGCTGGCAGAGCCCAGCTCCGACAGGCCACGTGCTGCCCGTCAGCACCAGAGCCCTCTTTCCTCATCTTCAAAAGAAACACAGCCCGAGGTGCTGGGTCTGGCGATTGTTCTTGATCCTTTTCCCCCTAGGCTCAGAGGGTGGGCATCTCCGGTGGGTTTAAGGATCAATCCGGAAGGCCAGGAGCTTCTCCGAGTGCTGGTTGTTGAGGGTTCGCAAATCAGGAAGGCGCAGGAGGAGTTTGGGGAAGAGAGTGGAGTCATCAGGGTGCTTCTTTGTCACCAGAGTCCGCAGGGCCCGGATGAGGGTCTCCTGAAGGATTTCCACGGCATCCACGTCTGAGATGCCGGAGCGATCTATGAACCAGATGAGCCATGACATTAATATCCAATCTGCTCCCCCAAAAAATCAACTGGTCCCCACTGCAGGGGAATCTCCCTCTGTGACAGCATCTGACACACACAGCAGCTCATAAACAGCAAGGAGATGCTTCCTAATGCCCAGATCTCAGCCTGGGGTACAGTCTCCAGAAAGAAGGGATGAGATGTTTAAAGCCAGGTTGGACAAAGTGTTTAGCTGGTGCCCAGTTAGGTCTTTCCCCACCTCTAACATGGAAAGGGCAATGACCCTCCAGTTGAAATACTAGGAGGACGCTGTCCTGTACAGCTCGGTCAGTCCTGTTCCCTGGCGAATCTGGAAGGCCCAGGCAGGGTAAGCTCCATGTGCATCCGCTTTCTGCATGCACCGGGGCGTGGGACCCCAGAGGGGCACTGGGGACTGCCAGTCCGTCATTGTCTTTCCACAGGCGCCAAACCTAGTGAACAACAGGACACACGGCCTGAGGCACCAGGGAGGAGCTTTGCAGGGGGATCGTCACTGACTTCACCTGCCTGGCTGGCCGCTCAGAGATCCCCCCGCTGGCCCGAGGGCTCGCACCCACCTGCTGAGACCAGGACGACGGCCATGAAGAGCGCCATTTCCTGGGCATCCAGCCCCAAGGAGCTGAGCTTCTCGCTGAACTCGAACATGGCGTCCAGCAGGCAGCCCATGCCCATGGTGCGCAGGCTGCAGAGCGAGTAGGTCTCGCCGCTCAGGAACGTCACCACCTTCTCCTTGGGGTTGAAGAGGGAGGAGAACCGCACCATCAGCACCTGCAGGAAGAGGATCAGAGCTGAGCCTGCAGCTCTAGTGGCCAGGCAGAGTACAGGGTTTAGAGTCTGGGGGTGCCAAGGGTCCTCAATTGTGTTACATAATTCTAAGCCAGGTTGCCTGGGGACTGGATTCAATAAGCCAGGAAGCTCTTCCCATCCCGTTGCTATGACTGGATCGCTCAGCTCAGGCAATGACAATCATAAAGTACCTAGCCCTTACCTCAGGGCACGTCAGGATCATTATCCCCATCTGACAGATAGGGAAACTGAGGCACCAAGCAGGGAAAAGCAGCTTGTCCTAAGCCCCAGTTCAACGTTCTAGCCACTGGATCTTTAGATGCATTCAGTCTCCTGACCCTGATCTGGAGTCACTTTCTCCCTCTTGGGGTTCCTATGGGAGTTGAGGGGCCTGGGTGGAAAATTAAATAGCCCCAGAACAAGGGTAATTCAAGTCAGTGGCGCGGGTCTGATGAACCTTCTCTACAGGTGCTGTCAGGCTACCAGGTTTCCCACATGTGACAGAATCTGTGCCTGGCATGTCATGGCCACTTAAACAGCAGGAGCACAATTCATCTGAATCCTCCTGTTGCAAAAGCCCAGAGCTAGAGGGGAATCTCCCATGGCTGTTAGCAGTATGGAGGCTATGACACACAGTACACTAGTTCTGATTCCATACCGCAAGGGGTGCACACACAGAAAACCAGGGCTCGCTCCTTCCAGAAGAGGGCAGTGGAGACACACACACACACACACACACACACACAGATTCACAGATTTCAGGGCCAGAAGGGATGGTTGTGATCATCTAGGGCAGTGCTTCCCAAACTTTTTGGCATCATGCCCCCCTTTTGATTTTTGAAAAACCCTCACGCCCCCTTCCCCCCCCCACAAAAGAAATAGCAGCAAAACTTGTTGAGGGGGGGAAAAGGCACAGAGCGGGGCAGCAAAACTTGATGGGGGGGAATTTTGCGCCCCCCCCCCGGAATTTCTTCACCCCTCCCCCAGGGGGGCATGCCCCCCAGTTTGGGAACCCATGATCTAGGGTGACCTCCTAGATAATCCAGGCCACAGAACTTCCCCCAAATAACTCCTGGAGCAGATCTGTTAGAAAAGCATCCAGTCTTAATTATAAATTGCCAGCGATGGAGAACTCACCACGGCCCTTGGTAAATTATTCCCATGGTTAATTACTCTCACCGTGGACAATTTCCAGCTTAAACTTGTCTAGCTACAATTTGCAGCCATTGGCCAGTGTCAGGTCTGTCTCTGCTAGACCAAAGCGCCCAGTACAAAATATTGGCTCCCCATGTCGGGCCTTACTGACTGTAAAAGTTGTTCTGATGGTTAATTACACTCCTATAACAACTGCTTTATTTCCAGTCTGAATGTCTCTAGGTTAGGGCAGTTTGTGGGTAACTGCGCCTGTGTTCCCCCTCTGTGGTGCCTCCAGGACACCAACTTCAAGGCTGCCAGCTCCCAGTTGTCACCCGTCTTGGGTTGAGACCTGCATTTCTCTCCCTGATGACTGGGGCTTTAGATCAGCCCAGCTGCCTGTGAAATCCCTAGGCAGGGTCAGCTCAGTGCAGTCCCAACGAGAGGTCACACTCCAGGCAGGAGAGGCCCGGCTCCAGGCTAGCAGGGATCTGACTGACCTGGAAGGTGCCTGCCTTGAGGAGCATGACCTGGTCCTGCTGGCAGAGCGACTGGAAGCCCGGGATGCTCTTGGCGAACTCCACCACCTCCTTGACGGCGGGCGTGAAGCTTAAAGCACATGGAGACCTCCTCCCCCCCCTGCTGGCTGCTCCTGCCGCTGCTGTAGTATGGGCTGGCGTTCAGCGGGCAGGCCTGGTGGGCAGAGTGAGCGAGGTCAGAAAAGCAGGGAGGACACGAGGAGCATGGGCCAAGCAGCTCAGCCCCCTAACTCGGGCCGGGTGGGCCTGGCATGGGACCCCACAATGGGAACACCTTGACAGTTTTGCAGCCAGAGGAATCAGAGCCAGATTTGGAGGCTCACACCTTAATTTTGGGAGGCAGGAGAAGCAGACCCAAATTCAGAGGATCGGGGGAATGTGACGCAGGTTTTTTGGGGGGACTTGGAGACTGGATTGGCACTGTCAGGATCTGGCATCTCAGACTGACTGTGGGGGGGAGTCTCCCCAAAGGAGATTGTCTGGGAGCCCAAGGGGATGTGGAGACGGGGAGCTTGGGGGGTTGTGGAGGCCGTTTGGGAGCCCTGGGGATGCAGAGACTGTCTGGGAGCGCGAGGGGTTGCAGAGACGGACCCGCTCTGGAACACAGCCCTGGGGTGCAGGAGGGCACTGCAATGACACTGCCGTCCAGCAGGGGGAGCCAACCTTTAAGTTTCTTCTTGGGGTCAGTTCAGCGGCAGATCTGGGGGTCTGGGGCCCTATCCAGAGGGGTGCAGAGCACCCTGGATTCCCACTGGGGCCCAAAGGGGAGGAATTTACTGCCGGAAGAGGCGGAGGCTTCTCTGTTACTGGCTCTGGGAAGAGAGTGGGGTCTAGTGGTTAGAGCAAGAGGGGGTGCTTTGGGAGTCAGGATTCCCGGGTTTTACTCCTGGCCCTTTGGGGTCTAGTGGTTAGAGTGGGAGTGGAGGGAGCTGGGTGTCAGGGGTCTTTGGTTCTATTCCCAGCTCTGGGAAGAGAGTGGGTCTAATGGTTAGGACAGGGTGAGGCGATTGGGATCCAAAACTCCTGGGTTTTCATCCTGAGTCTGCTGAGACTGGGCTAGCAATTCCTCATCTCTACGCTTCAATTTCTCCTCTGGGCACCCCGCTGAGACAATCCTGCTTGCCCTCCCCCCCAACCCTGCTAGCTACGTACAATGCCTCTGCTGGTGGCCGAGCGCCAGGGACAGGCCGTCTGGGGGCTGCCCTCGGAGTAGCCGTAGTCGAAGAGGGGGTAGTGCCTGGCGTTGGCCAGGTAGCTGCTCTGCTGGGCCTGGTAGATGTCATTGCCGAAGGGGCGGGGCCCGTTGTCCACGTAGGCGGGGACCTCATGGGGGCAGGAGCTGTAGCTGGGGAGGCGCAGGTTGGCCGACTCGTACGGCCCGCAGGCATAGCCGTTGCTGAGCTGCTGGTCAGTGTAGCTGAGCGAGGAGCAGGGCTCGGCCCGCCTGCCGAGCCGGTCCTGCCCGCTGACGAAGATGTCATGGTAGGCCCGGGAGATGGCACCGATGGCCTCCTCCTCCTGGGCATCAGGACTCGGGGGCGCCTCCCCCTCGGGCCCCAGCCCCACCTCCATGGGGGCCTCGCCGAGGCTGTTCATGTAGCTTTGCATCTCATCCAGCAGACGCTGCTTCTCCCGCTTGGGAATGCGCCCAAAGCGCACAGCTGTGTGGGGAGGAGAGAGAGTGTGAGCGCCCCCTACTGGAAGTAGGCAGCATTGGGGAGGGATCAAGTCAGCAGCACCTGGCTGGGTGGGAGGAGGTGGCGTCAGGGGCTAGTCACCACCTGTGGCTTCTGTCCTGCTGCACGCGGTGCTTGGCGCAGCAGGGAGTAACAAGCTGCACTCCAGAGCAGGCTGCATTGCAAAGCTGCTTCCCACGATGCAGCTGTTTCCCTTCCTTCTGGAGAATGTGTGTGTCTGGACTGGCACAGCTCTGCCAGCTCCCTTTGCACCCCACACCTCCTACATAACCCCGTGCGCCCCTCCCTTGCCAGGCAGAGGTCTCTTTCCCCACAGTGGCCCCATGGGAACCTTTGCCTCCACCCCCCTGCCTGGCATGTCTCTGCTCCACTTTTCTCTCCAAAACTAGGTCAGTGGGTCGGGAGCAGAACCCAGGCCAGGCCCATGGGAGACGCAGAGAGGCTGGGGTAGGGGTCCCTTCTTACTATAGAACCGTCCAGCACCTCCTCTGCCCAGGCCTGGGGTTCACCCCTCGCCTTGAGCCTCTTCAGGAGGGAGGGGGAAGGCTGAGATTTTATCACGGCTTCTTGACAGCAACAGACCTTGTGGCTGCCTCTCCCCCTGGCAGCCAGTCCTGACCTGAGGCCAGACGAAGGCTGGTGTCAATCAGGAGAGCGGCATTACAGTGAATGCGGCTGCACTGGAGTCAGAGCCCTGGGTTCTCATCCTGGGGGGAGGAGGGGTGGAGGGTCTGGTGGTGAGAGCGGGGGGGCTGGGAGTCGGGACTCCTGGGTTCTAGCTCCAGCTCTCAGAGGGGAGGGGGTCGGGAGGAGGGAAATAGGGCTCCCACCCATGGCAAGAGCGCTCTAGCGCAAGGGAAAGCCCAGCTGGGGCTCCTGAATTCTACTCCCGGCTCCAGGGAAGGGGGATATAAGAGCTCGGACTCCTGGGCTTTCATCTACTCTGATCTGCTATGCAGGACATGTGCCTGCTCTGTGCCTCAGTTTCCCCCTTTGTTACGTCGGAGAGAGTGATACTGCTCCTCCGTTGCAAAGCGCGAAGACCTATGGCCAACAAGTATCTTCCTCTGCCGTGGCACCCGCTTCCCCCAGTTCCTCCTGGCCCAACAGCAGAACAACTCCAGCAAGAGTCTTTCCTGGGAGTGGATTTCCAGCCCTGCCTGCGCTGGGCGGGGAAGAGGAAGGGGTGTGTCACAGGGGTGGCAGGAGCAGGCCCTGCGATGCCCCCTCCCCTCACTGTGTCCCCAACAGCAGGGGCCTGATCCTGCACAGAAACAGACCAATGGAAGCAGGATCGGGCCCACATACGGCACCTCATGGGTGTGGGAGGTCCCATGCTGGGCAGGGAGAGTCCGGTTCTCATGCCCACCCGGGGCTTTGGTGGCGGGGGCGGGGGACGCCCGGCCCCACCTCCATGGGGGCCTCGCCGAGGCTGTTCATGTAGCTTTGCATCTCATCCAGCAGACGCTGCTTCTCCCGCTTGGGAATGCGCCCAAAGCGCACAGCTGTGTGGGGAGGAGAGAGAGTGTGAGCGCCCCCTACTGGAAGTAGGCAGCATTGGGGAGGGATCAAGTCAGCAGCACCTGGCTGGGTGGGAGGAGGTGGCGTCAGGGGCTAGTCACCACCTGTGGCTTTTGTCCTGCTGCACGCGGGGCTTGGGGGCGCC